AAACAACTTCTTAAAACAACGAAAGGAGACTGCGACCACACAAAAGACCACACCATCTTGGTCTTCATACCTATTCTTTGTATACATGAGCAAGTTGTTGTGATGGTAGACTGTCGGTGACTAGCGAGTGTCCTTTTCTCCTACGCCCGCTTGCTTCAGATCCTGAGTCGTCGTTTGCACACCGTCAGCTGCTGGATCTACTCGAGCTCGACGCACTTTTGGGATCAAAGATGCTGGTCACGCTTCTGCACAATTTGGTCTCGGACGAATTGGCCGATTTGTTTGTAGACAAACGACTGGCCCAGGCTCTGGTACCGTCTCAGATCCACCTACCGGCCATGCCGATCTTCTTCTCACCCTTCGAACTGACGGTCGATCCGGTTGCCGGGGCGGAGCACGAGTGTGTCGGTTTGGAGGTGTCGTGGCGGCGGTCTGTGAATGCGTGTGTGCGCCGGATTTTGCTGCTTTTGCGGTCGGCTCGTCTTCTGGTGCCCTGCGCCGCTTGGTACGTCGGTGAGTTGGTCGGTCTGCAGGAGCCAGGCCGCGATTGGGCTGCCTCGACGTTAGTAGATCTCGTGCCCGATGGAGTCCACGAGGCGGATGTGGTGTCCGAGGCCTGGCGAGCCGACAAACTGCACGTGGACAGTGTTAAAGCGGACTTTCGGCTGCTCTGTGCTTGTCTCTATGCCGTCGACTTGCGGGACCGGGTCTCCTTGAGTCTGAGCCGACGCGGAGGGCGTGGAACCGTCGACTCTGAGTCCGTCGAGGCAGACGTTACGTCGACCGCAGCCGGCGTCTACTCGCTGACGAGCCTCGAACTTCTCGTGAAACTCATCCACTTTGCGGCCGCCCCACCTGATGGCCTCTTCTCTTGTCACATGTCGGGCCAGCTCACAGATCTTCTGCTCGATCACATGCAGGTATGGCCTGCAGCACTGGGACTCGACTTTTATTCGTATGTGTGTAGGGTTTCGAGACTGCCAGTAAATCAGTGTAATGAGATGTATTCACCCTATTTCGTGAAAGGTGATGAAGGACCGGTAGAAGATTTATTTTCCCACAATCATATGAGTTGAGCTGACGCTTCCATTCAATTTCACATAGCCTTGCTTTCTCAAAATC